TGACTTTCGGGCGGGTACTGACTTTCGGGCGGGTACTGACTTTCGGGCGGGTACTGACTTTCGGGCACGAACTAACTTTCGGACCCGACTTGTGTGTAGTGGAGACGTCACTTTCATGTAGATGTACATGCTACGCGCTGCATTTGCGCACCGTACCGGTACATATTTCGGGCAGTATGTTTATCGGGCTCGACTTGACTTCAACATACAGAGCCAAGAGAATCGAGGGGGTATTTATTTCGGGCAGGTACTTATTTACGGACTTTTACGGTAATTGAATTGACCACGCTGAATTATCCCGTACCTCTTTGTGTGGAGTTGATTTATTATGGTGAATTGTGAAAGGCATTATTGTACCTCGGGGTCCAGTTACATGTAGTACTGATTCCCACAGAATCAACAGACACAGCCACTATGTCCAATGAAAGGCTTCACTACAAGCAATCATCGTCGACTGAACCCATCAACATTATCATCACGAATGTTAGACAAATCAGTATTCAATGACACCGGACGCACTAACCCTGTTCAAGACGCATGACGAACTCGCCCATCTCGGGGCTATGCTCAACACCTGAGGGGAACTGGAAAGGACGACTATGGCAAGGTCTTGTGACTTCGGCTCTCACAGGACAGCCGAGGGGCGGCAGAATCCGTGCCATGGATCGCAACATGACGAAGCTAAACTAACCCAAAAAATGATGCAATGATCAAATCTCAAAACGGTTCACTGATTCAGTGCACTAGTGCCCGGAGTAGACCCAGGTGCTCGAAGTCCGTACACTTTTACAGTGTGTGTTTGTCGAGCTGAAACTCACACTAGCAATGATCACTTGCCAGAATCCTGCTCGTGGATGGAAGGTATCTTGTCCAAGTTTGTTCTGAGGCCAGGCTCGATTGAACCAGGCCATCTTTCGATCCGATCTGTTTCTCTGGAGTTCGCTGATTTTTCATATCAAATTTTTGTGTCGCGGAGGGTACTCTAAGTCCGTACTGATCAGAGGTGACTCGAAATACACACATATTTCTGCTAATTGCTAACTTGCAATCCCTCGGTTACGACGAAAGCACCGAAGGGATATGTTTGGCATGTGCCTCCACCAGTATTTCTTGCAAAAGCGTAGTTTGTTGCCGAACTGCAAGCTGTTTTAGTCGGCTCAGAGAAGAAGCAGCTGCGCTGTGAAAACCGCGGGAAAACAGTGGTGGAGATGCCAGGAGTGTCAACCTTTCTGCAAGAATTGGTGGTTCTCTGTAAATTCTTCTCCTCTGGCCATTGTCAGCTCTAAGGTGGCTCTTGATGATTGAGTGAAGGTCTGTTTGACGCTGTGTCCGTTCGAAATCGGTCTTGGCAAAGTTGATTTTTGCATGAAATGTAACCCAATTTGTATTTCGTATGGGCACTCGAAAACCCACTCGCGTGGTATGGGACTTCTGCTTATCGTAGATCCCTGAAAATTGCTACGCGAGGAGAACATACCACACTGTCCCCTCGATAAAATATTTGAGTCGAATACAATAACAGAACATGAAATTATGGGCGTACGAACTTAGGATACCATGTACGGACTTCGAGCACCTGGGTCTACTAGTAGTGGGCTATCAGTATCAAACTAAAATTTATCATGGACCTGGTTCTACTGTACGGTTATCAAAATAATAATTATTAATATTATCATAACCAGACGACAAACAAACGAACGAATGTGTATGATTCAAAAAAGACTCGTACGATGTGATTTGGCCTTTTTTTTTAAATAGCATGGTGTAAAAATTAATGACGTTTTTTTCAGCCACTTCTATGCAAGCTACGTCCAAACGTTGCAAGTGAAGTGGAAGTGCTATCCTTCATGCCCGTTGTGTCAAAAAATGGGAATGATCCCACTTTGGAAAGTGTCTTGAATCATGCCCTGCTTTCATAGTATTCTCAGGATTCAAATAATTGGTGTACCATTTTTTTAACAAAATGTGTAAAATGGCATCACAAACCGGCTGAGATATTCGGTCATCAATGTTCTGAAGTTGATTGATATCACTTCAAGGATTGCTGGTGGATAGAAATTAATCTGTCAACTGCATTGTATGCTGCGAAAGCTGTGTTTTTGAATTTGTAACTAGTGGCTGTGTCATACGGTAGAATTGGATAGGTAGCATAGCATCGCAGCCATGTTTTCGTTCTCCCAGAGTGTATTCTGTGGCCTACTGTTCTTCATTATTGTCTTTAGTGATGGCAAGATGGCCTGACCTCGTCCAAAGGCCCTGCGGAAGCAATTCACCGCCCTCCTCGTCCATTCAGGGGCTTACTTGACACATTTTACACAAAACGGCAAAGCACCCACCACTAGTGTTATACCGACGTGGCAGGGAGAATTAAATTATATGCACCAAATTTTCTGGTCAATGTTGATCTACGATAAACTGGCTCTCATTTGCCACCACCCATGTTTCGATACAGCCATCCGAAGCAGAGAAACAGCCATAAGAAAAGCAAATTTTACACATTTTGTTAAAAAAATGCCAAATGTTAAAAAAAAAAAAGCCAAATCACCTCGTACACTCTCGATCTCGCCTCTCTTGCAGTCTCGGCCCGAGCGCTCGGCACTGGCAGCGCTGCATGCAGCCGACCTTCGATTTAAAAAAAATTATTACTTTTTTAGATCGTAATCTACATGTACATACATGTACGTGTACGTGTGGATCTACCTGATGGTAATATTATTATTCCCGTAGCTATGCAGAAGACGTTACTTCAGTAACGTCTGGCGCTAGCCAGGGTCCACACAGCTTTAATTCCCGTAGCTATGCAGAAGACGTTACTTCAGTAACGTCTGGCGCTAGCCAGGGTCCACACAGCTTTAATTTGGTGTTTGTTTGTTTGTTTGTTTGTTTGTTTGTGTCACGCCTGGCGCTATCCCGCATCTGTCCCGTACTGTACCGTACCAGCAAAGACAGCTGGCCACAATATTTTTGTTTGCGTGTGCCATCGACATGCCTGGCGCTATCCCGTACCTGTCCCGTACCATCAAGAGTACGGGACCATCAAGAGAATGAGTATATATGCGAAGTATATCGGGGGAATGCATTCAGTGCATTAACATTTTGTGTGGATTTGTGTGCGAGGCCGAGATCCCACTAGCAGGCTGGCTGGGCCGCCTGTCGACCAGCCTGGGAATCGCATGTAAGCCGATAGCATAATAATTATAACTTACATATATACATGTAGATGTATAGCAGGGAGTCATATTATGTAAACGAATCCCTCCTGTATGAAGAGATTTTCTGGAAAGAAATACGAAGTAGGGAGACGAGTAAATGCAATCAGAATGGATGTTAGTTGCCGTCAGTATACTGGTAATAATAATAAGAGGAAGAAGAAGAACGTCCGTGATCGGCAGAGTCAGCGCCGGTCCCAGGAAACGTCAGGACAGACATCCCGTCGACTCCAGAACGCCCGTGATCGGCAGAGTCAGCGCCGGTCCCATAGCTATGCAGAAGACCTTACTCCAGTATCTCATTGAAACGTTTTTGCAAAACAATGATGTAGCTAATCAAAGGAAAAAGCATTTCCATCAGTTCTAACAACATGCACGATGAGCTAGGCAACAAGGCATAGCGTAGGGCCCTGAGCTTCCAAGCTCTCTCGTTTGGTGTTTGTGTGTTTGTGTCACGCCTGGCGCTATCCGTATCTGACGGCAAAAAGCATAGGATGTTATAAATTTTTCAATTCTCCTATTTTTTCAGGCATATTCTGGGATTCGAACCCGCACTATCGCCCTACATGCATTCCCCCATACACTTCGCATTCATACCCATTCTTCCATGTTGCTTCACGTTATTATCTTGCGTTTGAAAGCCCTATTTGAATATTGCGGGAAGCTGTATGTGACAGCTGTGTTTGATGGTACGGTACGGTACGGGAGACGGTGTCGTATTACCCTCGATCGTACCTGTCCCGTACCTATCCCCTATCGTACCGTGCCATCAAAGACGGCTGGCCACAATGCATATTCAAATAGGGCTTTCAAATGCAAGATCACAATGTGAAACAACTTGGAAGAATTAGTATGTATGCGAAGTGTATCGGGGGATGCATGCAGGGCGCGCGATAGTGCGGGTTCGAATCCCAGGTTGTCTTAAAAAAAAAAGGATTTTTAAAGAATTTATAACATCCCTATGCTTTTTTTTGTCTAGGTCATCAAGGCAAAAAAAGCATAGCGTAGGGCCCTGAGCTTCCAAGCTCTCTCGTTAAATTTTACGTAGAAAGGAAAAAGGAAAAAGACATTATGGATACGAGTTAAGAGTAACTCTCCATCACTGTAACATGATACTTTATACAGTCAGAAAGTGCAATAACTAGGCACAACATCCGAGTTTTAAATTAAATTTTACTTTCAGGATTACCCTAGGCCTGGACAGATTATGCTAATAGTTTCATGAAATTATGCTTTTCGCATTGCTGAAAAAATTGCAGAATTATGCTATTTTTAAGCTAAAAGTTATCATATTGTGCCGCATTATGCTCACATATGCTGCTAATGTATAATGGTTCTGTGCAAAATAACAGGGGAATTTTTTTGTAGAGGGCGTTGTACTGTAGTAGCAAAAGCTCAACGGGGTCAACGCACCGTCCGACCTAGCTACGACCGTCACTGGTTGTAGTGGACTGGACATGTTGTCAAGGGAGTCGTAAACCTACGACTTCATGGTGCATCTACTTGTACTTGTACTTGTAGAACATGTACAACTGTATGAAATTTGATGCGAACAGGCGGATTATTCCAATTTTACGCGATTCGTATGTAATGTGCCTCGAATTATGCGATTTTGGTAGGAATTATGCGAAAAATTATGCTAGGGTAATCTGTCAAGGCCTAGATTACCCAAAGCCTGCAAAGACTGACGCTTATCAGGGGGATCTCCTATTTTAATACATACTGTAAAACACGATATTTTCGGTGTATTAAACTTTAATTTCGGTGATTTCGGTAGTGAAAACCAGCACCTAAGTTTACATTACACCTAAAAGGCACCAGAGTATGCACTGTATGTGAAGGGAATGCTGGTCACCTAATTCTAAATTACGCCTGAAAGTAACGCGGCCCGTGTAAGGTATGGGGGGAAAGCTGGAGCGGGTCAAGGCGCAACAGTGGTACTAGAAGTGCCAGGAGGGAGCTGGGTAGGGGTGAAACAATTATACCGAATATTCGAATACTCGTTTGGATTTTTCAACTTTTTAAAATCGTACTCGGAATAAATCAGAGTACTCGCTCATACATGGTACATGCATTTACCACAGATGTCTGCAGTTTCAGAGCAGCAGTCAGCAGATATTGATGTGCAGAGTGTGTGGTGAGCATTTGTACATGAGTAGAGAGAGCCCAAATGACCCACCAACCAATACACCGGAGAAAAGGACTCCCAATTGGTTCAAACAGGGTTGTACCATGTGATTGTTAAGGCCCTTGGTGTGCGATTTTTAGGATATCAAGAATACTCGAATATTCGATCGGAGAAAATCAGAGTACTCGAACTCAGGATCTCAGTGCCAACTTTCACCCCTAGTGCCGGGCAACAGGCAAGTGTGAGCATGAAAGCGCGGAAAGAGGCAGTGTACAGCAGATGGGTGGAGGTGCCAGCAGGATGGCAGGCAATGGGCCAGTGAGATCGCTAGGGGGTCTTTAATATCTTTGGTTGACGGGCAGGCCTCCACCCATCTGCTGTACACTGCCTCCCCATCGCCTCTTTCCGCGCTTTC